GAGTTGCCCGTCCCTCTCTAAAACGGTGAGCAGACTAATTCGACACAGAACAATATTCAGCAGAACGGCATTTAGCTTACGACAAGGACAAACACAAACAAGCAGACAGAAGCAAACAAGCAAACCAGAAGAAGAAATCAAAGACAACAAAGTGAACTTCGACGTTCGTGGGGGGCCACTTACCTTGTAGCTTCCTGTGGAATAAAAGACGAAGTCTCATCCCAGAGATGCACAGTCGGTGTGACGTCCGGCCAACGGTGGTGGGAGTGGAGACGAGTGTGGAGATGCACACACGGATACCTTAACCTGGTTTAGCCCTCCGGTCGACGCACTTACCGAGCTATGACTGCTAGACAGAACCTAACTTCGCGAGCCATACTGAGAGTTGGGTGCCGGTTAATGGACGCTAGGTGTAGTCTACACCTGCAAGCAAATGAACGAACTACTACGACCATCACGTGGACTGGCAACTGGAAATTTCTACACCCCGGGTACCATCTACATCTGAGCTCAGAGACCTGTGAATGTGCTACGAGCCCAACAAATAGCGGCCGTCACCGGGACCTAGTTGCTAGGCAGTTCGTTATTTTAGAATACTGATTGTTGCGAGCTAGTGTAAATACAGGTAAACATATCGTATGTGTTTGTGAAGGTATCTTCATAGCAAAAATTTAAGAAGCAGTATTAACTAAGACCAAAATAATTAGTTTAACTGGATGAATAGTTGTTTTGCCAATTCATTGACAATGGCGAGATTTACATTTATGAAACCGATCCTCTTGAGTCGCTAAATTATACGGTTCTTTATGAGCATAATTAAATTAATGTGCAACACTGTAAGCTAAATCATATAGCATACTAATTGCGCATAATTCTAGCGAAAATTTAGGTTTTTGCCAAATAGATTTGTATCGAGAGGTTTGGCTCATCTTTACTAACGGTGATAAAAAATGTCTAACTTTAAAAATTGGTACTTTGCGCAAGAGTGTCAGTTTAATTAAAACTTGCTTCCGTTAGAAAAAGTTTAAAAAACGCTTAATTCCATCTATACCGTAATAAATCAGAAAGTTTTACACCATTCGAGTCGACGCATTGACAGTCGTGGCAGCAGCGATAGATCAGCCTCAGATTCACGCAATTTGGCACAGAGCGTCACGCTAGTGGTTCACTGCTAAAACGTTTCTACTCTTGACTTTGCGACGTTGATGCTAATTTACGTGAAATTTGTGTGCAGTACAGCCAGTGAGTTCCAAACGAAAATGCTGCCGATGGCGTATTAGGCCAATGGCCCGCTGTTTAACAATAATTTTTGTTAGCTGTCATCGTCTACTTTTAAATAACTTGCTTGAAAATAGCCAGGGTATGTACACTTGTTAATCCAAGAAATACGTCGGCACTTTAGTCCAATAAACTTTCCTTTCCGAGTCCTTTTTCGATCCTATTTTAAATATTGGTGTTATGTCGGCCTGTGATTATCGGACTAAAGCATTTTCTTTCAACAGCTAGTTGCCAGCTGATGGTTATCACGACTTTGCCTGCTTTTTCACATCCGAATCCCCTATGTTGCCAACAAACGTAACTTATACTCGAATTTTATGTATTTTGAAGAGGATCGCACTGAGAATGACCGAGACGTCGCCTCAAAAGTCAAAAAACAGATGAACAAATTCATAATCCATGTTGGAATTTTAAGGGTATGTTTCCTAATATCCAGGCAGATTTCGCGAATTTTGTTATGTTTAATGAAGACGCCTGCAATGGTAACTTATGCATCAGGTAATAGGACAGTTTGCCCTCGTAAGCGCAGCTTGTTATATAATCAAGTTGGCCCATACCGGACATTAAAATACTCTTAACTTGTCACTAGGTTGCTGGTGATACCCGACCTTACAGTTTCTACCTTGTTCTATCCAACGCGAGGGAATTCTGTGCGTTGCTCCCACATCGGCGCACTGTACCGTCTAATGTCACTCCGACACTGGACACTCGAACGGCAAGTATTCGCATATACAAATAAGAACTTTTTCAAATATAATCGGACTGTTGGCTCACAACCAAAAAGTGGTGCATATGTCTGTCTTCTACAAACTACACGGTTTTAGTCTTTTTAGACTGTACTTGATACCACTGTATAATAAAGAGGGATTTTTAATAAGGGCAAAGCATCTATTTGCTTACTGGCAAAGCCCACTTGAAACATCCCTTGATAATCCTGACCATCATTTAAAATAAATGAGTGCTTAAAATGACTTCATTCGACATAATAAGATGAATGGCAGTCGAAAGTCCAGCGATTTCTAAACCCAATGCGCCTCAGGGTAACAGACATTGTTGACACGGTGCATGGGCCTCAGGTACCGTATCGATTATTTGCCGCTTAGTACCGTAGGTAACGCACCTCATGACGATCTGTTTGGGGCACCTCAGAAGTTGCTCTTCTTAATTCGTAGCTTAACACGTTCCAGAAACGTTTTTTCTAGTAGATAATATCTTTTTAGGATAATTCATAAATGAAAAGTTAGCAGCTCTGATGGAATCTAAAGTTAGCGTATACTCAGGCAATTTCCTATGTTAGCAATTGTTCTGTATTCCGACTGCGCACATCTACCTGCTTTTATATTAACCCACATTAATCCAAATAAGAGAGATCCACCAAAACAACAGGAAACCCGATTTTTCAGATGGCGTAAATCGAGCAGGACAATATGTGAACAAACATTTAATGTTCGAATCAAAAGAAGTGTCTTGTAAATCTGTATAATGTCAAGTCCTAATAGGCGAAGATAACGCCTATGATTTCTAGGCATATGCAAGTATTCTACAAATAACCGCGAGACGACCTTCACCCAAGCGGTCATTCTAGCTTTTAAGCATATGATAAAGTGATCTTAGTGTCATCTGGTTTTTATGTAGACTTAATTTAGAGGTTGGGTTGGCTTAATCTTAAAAAATATACATGTTATGAACACGTATCAGCAGAATACACTTGCAAAGCGTTCTAAAATACCTTTCTTAGTAAGACGTTTTTTGGCCAGCCAATAGCACATTCATTCCACGCCTTTGTTTTGGAACTCAAGTTTCCTCTACGATCAAGGTTTTTTGCTTGGGTAAGTTCACAAGTGTGATTCACGCCGTCGCCTTCGGACAAAAAGGACGGTTTGAGGACTCAGTGTCCGGGGCCAATGTTTTCAACTATAGCCAAAAAGGAGCATTGTGTTGTGTCATCCCTTTTAGGCGCTGAACACCGCAAAGTGCTCACAAACATTTAAAAGATGCCTTGACAATCAACAGACGTCTCCGTCATCAGAAAACGCTTAATAATTGTGTTAAAGAAGAATTGTACTAGTGACAGTCTGACCGTCGTGCCCGACGATGTCCACCGTGTACTCAGTAGCAAGGTGGAGCAGGCACGGTGACTCGCGCGTGAATTATTTTATGGTGGGAGTAGACTTGCTCAGCATCTACTGCACCCTCCCCTCCCCACCTGGGCCCGGTGTCAAGAAGACCGGAGGCGGAAGGGGGCACGGGTGGCTGGCAGGGCCGGACATGCGCCTAGGCATGCCACCACAACCC